TAGCATTAAGGAAAAGTTGAAATTTATGAATAATTTTGAGATATTACTGCTAATGTTATTAACAACAGTAATGAATAGAAAATTACTCAAAGAATGGATGTTTTTATCAATTATTCTTTATTTTTATTTATTTTCTTAAAAATAACTGAGCCAGGTAAATCAGTAATAAACTGAGAAAAGGGTTAAATAATGAAAATTCATAGAGGAGACTTGATGTTGAGAGTGATCTTCAGAGAGTAGGTATGTTCAACTTTTCGAATAGTTTTGGGGAGTCAAATATCGAATTCCATACATACCCTTTACCATTTATATTAAATTAAATTTAGATAAATCTTCATTTAACGTAATTTGAATTAACTATTGAGGTTTTTTGCAGGTTTGTTTAATATATGATTCAAAAAAGCTTAATAATGTAACTTCTGAACATAGTTTACTGATACCCATTCTTCTTATTATTAAAAAAGTCGAGATTATTAGTCATTATTAATATTCAACATCTTATAAAAATGACAAAAATTTTCCAAAATTGCATTGTTATTTTCGTAAGTTATACTTCTATTCAAATCATCTAACCTAACTTATAAATCTTACACCTCATCTTTTTTAAAGTTTTAAATTTATCTATTATTCCTTGTGTAATGTGTAATAAATAAAGGTGTTTCAAGATTAGCATCATTGGTTAGATTGACAGATCAAATGTGCCTTTTTCTCTTTCTCCACAAAAAATCTCAGCAACATTTTTTGCATTTGGGACACATTTTTATCTATGAATTCATTATAGGCAGTGTAGAATTTATAAAGACATGCCTAATAATCAAATAATATCAAACAAATTTTGATCGTTTTTGAAGTAAATTGAGATATTCAAAATACATAATTGTTATAAATTTGAAGTTTTTTAAGCATATTCCATTAACTGCTATTTACTTGATTAGTGAACCACAAGTACAATTTTAAATTATGAAGTGAAAGTTCCGAATTACAAATATCAATTCATATGAAAAACTTATATTTTCTTTAATACTTAACATTAATTATTAATTTAAAATTTCAAGTAAAAATTAGATTATTAATTATATCCTAAAAATATAATTCCTATTCTTAAGAAAGTTAGAAAATATTTACAGTATTACAATTTATTGAATCATAAATTCAATACAAATTTATTTGGAATGGGAGTAAAATTACCCAAAATCCTTCAGTAAATAAAGTTTCACTCAAATCATTTTTTCTGTTCTATGCAAGAAGATGTTCTAGTAAAAAAAATAAGCGAAATAATTATTCTCTATTCAATAACAATGCTATGATTCTTCTAATTTTTTTCAATTTTCAAAAAAAAC